CGCCCTGACCTTCGAATAGCTCTGATGAACATGTCTCTTGTACTGCGCCTGCCACGCAAAAGATATCTTGCCAGATCCTCTTCAAATGTCCCACGCCTGCCATCGTTTTAGGGAATGCCACAAAACCCTCACGTTTTGCTCACGTTTTGCTCAGTTTTGACAAGGTGCAGAATCCCTTGCGCCTGCCACGCAAAATGACATCTAAACGTCCAAAAGTGCTCCGGACCCGTCAGTTTTTTACACTTTTGACTTCGAAATGTGCTTCGCGCCACAACAGCGTGCACTTTTTCGACATCTCAACTTCCAAAAGTGGTCCGGACCTGGTGTGTTTTGTACATTTTGACATGGAAATGTGCTTCGCGCCGCAACAGCGTGCACTTTTTCGACATCTCAGCTTCCAAAAGTGGTCCGACGTTGGTGTGTTTTGTACATTTTGACTTCCAAACGTGCTTCGCGCCACGACGGCGTGCAACGTTTCATCTCTCATCTGGCCAGATGGCTCCACACCCGCCGCTTTAGCGAGCATACTTTTCGACCCCGGAGCCCGGAGCCACAAATCATTGGAAAAACACGGCGTTTCGCGACTTTCCTACCTTTTCGCGCGCCTGGATCTTCTTTCTTCTGAATTTCTCTTCTTTGATCTTCTTTCTTCTTCTCTTCTCTTCTCTGACTCTTCCCATCTCTGCTCTTCATCTGTCCATACTGTCGGAAGTTTGACTTCTAAACTTCCTTCGATCACTGATATTACAGGAACAGAACCATCATGAACCAGGGATCCCATGGCAATGGATTCTTGTCACAATCCCTCAGCTTTGAATACGAAAACCTGCTGGTGTAGAAATCAACCACCGCACATCTGGAAACCCGCAGCCCACAGTGCAATGGCAATGGCATGTAAATTGGCCAAAATGCCAAATGAATTGACATGTGATGGCAGCGCGTGCGCCAAAGAATCGAGAATCTTCTTGAGCGACTTCCTTGGAATCTGCCCCCGTTGCGACAAAAGTGGATCACCCTGGGCCACCTCAATTTTTATGTTCTGCAAAAAGCACAGAGGTCAGCCTGGTACCAGTTTGATCCATTTTTGCACCACGCATGTCTATTCACCAGCATGTACCGATTTTTGTTGTTCAAATGATTTGAGTTGTTCAATGGGTCAACCTCTCCATCAACCAATTTGATAAATCGGGATCCAGCTAAGGGTATCTACAACATGGTGCCCCATAGTTATGTTTAAGCTGGTCTATCAACCCCATTGAGCATCATTAACCCTAGATATCTCCGCAAGACATCCTAGTTCGCCTCGTAACCAACCAAGTTAGTTAACCTATAAGTCCATTTTTGTTGCTTTTACCCCCATGTTTAATTGAATAATTAATTGAATACATTTAAATAGCTATGAACTACGGGTCACCACCTTGTAAGGTGTCCATCATCCTCGGGAACTGCCAGGCAGCACTCGCTTGAAGAGTCGAAAAACTCGAAAGGCGCGCATCATCCGCAGCAAACTCAGCGGTCCCGGAAGGGGCACTTGGAAAATGTCCTCAGGGCCAAGAAAATACGGCAGAAAATTGCAAAAACTGGTGCGGATTTTTTTTTGGGAATTGTGAAGACCATTGAGCAATAATGAGCACCTATTTCCACAGTATTGGCAATTTTGAATACTTTTAATATGTTTTAATAGAGAAAATGCTGATTCTTGCTGATTAACTACTGGATGTAACGGTACCTCATTTTCAAAGCAGATCGCCTTCAGAAGCCACCTGAGATGTAATACAATGCTAATTAAGAACCAATGCTAGGTAGCTTGCAGAATGCAGCGTATAGAACGCATTTCATCTTGAGTCAGAACAACCCAAAGTGGATTTGATGATACTTTACTATACTTTACTTATACTTTACTTATGGTAATCTCTCTGCTGAAGCAAACAGCGTATGATAGCGTATGAGCCAGGCTAAACCCCTCCTGGAAGGAGCCTGCCAGCCCGACGAATGCATTCTGTTGTGGACTGCAGGTGAATGGGGGTCATATTGGATGGTCAAGCTGGGCATTCCAAAGATGGAAAAACTTAGCACCACGATATTTACCAATATGTGCCAAGACTGACGACTCCATCTGTGGATGCTATAGATTCTTTAAAGGTTGAAGCATGTGGCTATACCCCTGTCTCGTTGGTTGAGTCTGCCTGTGTGCTGGTCACATGCCCATGCTTGTGAATTTAATACTCATGTGTGTTGGTTACTTTTATTTAACTAAACTCCTAATTTCATATGATTTCAGTTGCTTACAGTGTCTTACAGTAGACTCCCCAACCATGACTTTGCCAACTCGCCCTCTTCCGAGAACCTCTAGGTTCACAGCCAAGGATCTAGCACGCCAATTGACACCACGACGGTGTCAAAGACGTTCCATGCAGAGGTCCAGAAACGAATGAACCAAAAACCGTACATGTTTATCAACAGCTCCTTAGCTACTGGTGCACTGATCTCCAAGCTTGACAGGAAACATGTGACCTACAATGAACTGATCCAACATTTGTACACTTTTGCAGGAAAATGATGTACAAGTGCATATATATATATATACATATATATATATATACATATGTATAATATAAATTCCCAGAATGATCATGCCAATGGCAGAGTGCACGCAGTTGCTCATCCACTGGGGCCACAATCGGCCACAACACATGGCCACGGCCACAAGTTTTCACCAATCTTCACCAGCTGCTTCTCGAGAGTGCCTTCAGCCAAGTTTCCATAAAGAAAATCAGATTGAAGAACAAATCCGTCCCTCGCCAGACCTGGGGCTTCGCGCCAAAATCGTTTCCGTGGACCATCATGTGACCCCGTGATGATGTTGACAAGTGAGGCGCAAGCATTCAATATCATCAATATCGAATATGATCAAATGATATCAAATGATATGAAATGATTGATGTTTTGGATTGTTTTGGACCTCTTCCCAGCAAAAATCAGCAACATCAATTCCTTCAGGCGACATCCTTGTGCTTGTCTCCACAGGGATCAATCCATTTCTCCATGATATTCACCAAGAAATTCCCGCAGATCAACGCAGCCACTGCGAGCTGCGCCTTCACATTCCTAAGCTGGCCACAGCTGAGCTTGGACATAGCCATGGAAAATTGCCATAAATTGCCTATAGATATAGAATGATATAGACGGCTTATGATGGTTTATCTATCTACTACACATGGTGATTTCCAAGCTATCTTAAGTTACCAAAGGGTAGATGGATGGTGTTTCCTGGAGCGCCCGATGCATCGATGATGTTTACGGTGGTCCTTTGACAAAGCCAACGCATTTACGCAATAAATCCAGCTACTGATTGAGACACTATTGAAATAATGCTGAACATGATGGCAATGCTGAGCAAGAAACACTTGAGTCTTCCCCCAAGTTGTGTTTCTTTTCGCCCATGGGTTGCCCAAGGAAACAGCAACTTCCATCAGTATTTCTCGCCCAACATCCATGAAACCCGGGTGCCATCCACAACTGGGGACCCTTCCCCTTTTTCTTGGTATAAACCCTGAGATTACCAGTCTTGGCATGTCTTGGCAACTGGGATATACCCAGCGGTAGAAACTTTTGGCCCCATGCGTCCCTTGATCTCCGAGAGCACCCAAGGGTGGGTCATGCAGTCGACTAAGATCACTAATTCTTGCTGGGTACTATTAATACTATTAATACTATTAATAATTGTAATTATAGACCATTTTGTTTGTTGCCAGATTTATCCAGATTTACTTTTACTGCTTCTTTTTTTGTGCTTTGGTTTTTGTTTTATCCAGGCCCATGGTTTTCATCCCAAGCCCTGGATGCCCTGGATGCCCAGGGTCACATACGCCACGGCCACTCTCCGCTGATATTTCCAGAACCCCCCATGGACTTCATCCGGAAGGGAATTGCGGCGCTTGGGCGCTGGGGTGGGCGACCTTGGAGGGCACGGGTTTTTTCGGCTGTGGCTATAGAAGCGCTGGTTGACATTTCGAGAAGAGATCCCAGTTATCCACATCATTACAGTTGTCATTACATCTACGTATTTGGAATCATCTGGCGATCTAGTTTATCAGTTTATCTAAGATGATCTACTAAGTACCAGTGAGTCTGGTGAATTCATGCTGGATTGGGGATATTGGTTGCCATCACTGATCGATCCTGCCATCAGTCCGTAGAGTTCATGGTGTTTGTTGGGCCAGCGTGCTGCGTATTTCGACCCGGGTCGGGTTTGCCCAGAAGGGGGTGAAAAACCCCGATTTATGGCCATCAAATATCCTGATTGACCTCTTGGTAAAGGGTTCTCTACCAGGAGAGAGGGACCATCTGACGTTTTCGTACGTTTTGTGGAGAATAGGCATGCGATTGCGTCGGAACCATGAGCTCCCATCAATATTATTCAACCCTCTGCGAGACAAAATGAAGGTCAGGTTGAAAGTCTCTCAGCCATGTTGCAATCCAAGTCCTGGCCACTTGGGTGCCAATTAGTTAGGGTAAGTCTGTCGTTTTTGACCGTCACATCTGGATCCATGTTTGGGCAATTTGAGGTAGGAACCATATTAATTATAACCCAGTTATTTTTACCAGGAATAGATGCCCCAAGGTATCGGCTCAATCGCCCCCCGGAATTACGTCCATTCTCTGAGCCATACCTTAGCGGGTCTGTGTTGTTCAGACTCGCGGGCCTGCTTGTGGCCTTCCTTTTCGTTGGGTCTCGCTGCTGTTCGATCAGCCGATTTACCTTTCGATTTGGTTCTTCATTGACAATTTTTGCGGCATTGGGCAGTTGATTTTCCTGTTCCACTTCGTGAATTTGGTCATTGCTATTTAGGGTCCTAGCCCTTTTAACCTGGGGTGACCGCTGCTGTTCACTCAGCCGTTCACTAATTTTGTACATTGCTTGCAATTTCAATTTATTTCTGGTACTGCGGGGACCGACTACCGATTTTCATTTACATTTTGCTGGCACTGCGGGGGCCTACTACCGGTATTTAACGATTTGATTTGGTGCTGCCACAGGTGATTTTCCCTGATTGGAGTGTGCATTATTCGTGTCATTTCGTTTTATGTGCAGTTTCCTCTTGGCATTTTTGGTGATCATCGTGTTCTTTACGCATCTCAAAGATTCCGCTGAATATAAATACCTTTCGACGCAGAGCTCGCAGACAGCGAGCACACGCTCGCAGAGATTGGTACTTGTTCAGAAAGGGTCGAATTTCTTTGACGAAGTTTTCATTGAGAAGGATCCGCAAAATTCTCAAGAATCATCACAGCCGAGACCATCAATTTATTGCGAATATCCAAGAAGTCATGGATTCTCTCCCAGACGAGAACTCGGAGTATTATCCGTGGAAGTGCCCATGTGGGCGCCTAAACAAGAAATGGGCTTCTCAATGTGCAATCTGCTATGGCCCTTGGACGGCTGGTGTGCGTCACAGAACGCAACCGAAACCGTACAACTGGCAGGAATCTCAATGGGAAGACTGGCAAGAGGCTTCATGGAAGAGTGCTGCAAGTCGCTCAACAAGCAGAGCCACAAGTTACAGAAATGCGGAGCCAAGTCCTTCTCCGCATCACAGGGCCAATCAGCAAAAGCCTATTGGCCGTGGCAAGAGTGCTGGCAAAGGGAAGCAGAAAAGCAAGAAAGGAATGCACCCAAGCAAAGGACAGGAAACAGTGCAAACATCACCGTTTCAGGTCGGAGAAGCAGGGTTTGCTTCCTGGCATTCCTTGGATGCCTCCAAGTTCATGCCGACCTCAGAGCTTGCACCGAGCCCTTTTGCCGCGATTACAGCAACCTCCAGCAGCCCAGACCTGGAGTGGATAGAGCATTTGAAGAAAGCCTATCCAGATCCGAGTACAATGCCAGAAGATACCAAGTTGCTCATAGAGAAAGCCGACCGAGAGCATGGACGTGTAGGCATAAAGAACCTACACCAAGCCACAAAATACCTTGGGAAAGCCAAGAAACATCTAGCAGAAGTGACGGAACAACGAAGAGCCCACCGATCTCAATGGATGGCGCATTTGGCAGCTGGTATTTCGATGTGGGAGTCACAATTGAAAGATTTCCGCAAGCACCAAACCTTGCTTACGGACCAGGCCAACCGTGCACGTACGGAGGTCACAGCTACCAACCTTATCATACAACAGCTCAGCAGTCAAGCAGCAGGTGGTACCAATCCACCCAATTTGCCTGCACCGTCACCGACAGAAGTAGAAGATTTGACAGAGGATGCAATCGACAAAGAAGAAGATGCCTTGCGACAGAAGCTCCAAGGAGTACTGAAGCGTTGTGCTGGCTCACTTGGGCTAGAGATCTCAAGTTCCAAGCCCGAAGAGGCGATGGAGGAGGTCGAAAAGGAGGATGCTGCGGACAAGCCTCCCAAGCGGCAACGCTCATTAGAGCCATTTGCCACTACGCCAAAGTGAAGCTTGGCCGTGTTGAAGAAGTTCTTAGCAATTCTTCGCATGAGGCCAATGAAGTTATTGTCCCTGAGTTTGTCGTTGGGGTAAGCGATAGCTGGGACATTGTTTCACCCATACTCCTGCCTTGGAGTCACTCCATCCTTGCGGAGCCGAGATTTGTAAGCCCTTTTAAGGCCGCTATCAATGCTCTCTGTCTTCAATGGGAAGTTTGTACTGATAGACTCCATGATGGAGCGTTGCAGTTGAGCCCATCCCCTTTATCAAGGTCGTCACCTTCTTCCTTGTGCAAGTTGTCTCAGAGACCCCAATCAAACAGCCCCTTTCAGAAGCGTGTTTGTTTTGTGGATCATATTGACATCCTGCTAGGTGATGACGAAGTTTTGGATATGAATTTGATTACGGTTCCACATGCTACCTTGCTTCATTGGAAAACTAAGCCTTGGAGTAAGAAAAGGATCCGTAAAACAAACAATGATGATAACAAGTTGACTGAATCCTTTTGCCTGGAGCCGCTGTCTACACAGGCCGTGTTGAGCCGGCAATTGGATGGAGAAACCCATTACCGAGATGACGATTCCACATTCGTCCAAATATCAACGTGGAAACATGAAGCCAATAATCCTAATGATGTTACATTAGCTGGTGCCTTCACCGAAGGTCAAGGCATTCCCCAAGGACTCATACAGCAAGATTCAGCGAGTGAAGCCGAGCTCGGCAACTCTGATGGTTCTGATGCCAGCATAGACTCACATCCTGAAATTCACCCACCATCTAGTGTTGGAAACAGGCAGGAAGCCATCCTTTTTCACCTGCGAGATGAGCCAATCCGTACCTTTCTTGAGTGGACTGAGTACGACCAAATGATTGCGGAGATTGCTTTTCACTATTCTGTTAACCCAGCATCTGTCGTTGATGCTTATGAGGTTAATACTCCTCTCCCTGGGTTGCCACCGGATGCCATACCAATCATTGCACACCTCTTTCCTGACATTGCAGTTGGACAGCAGGCCAAGCTAGTCCTTTTTGATATTGAAGTGCATGGACATAGATCAGAGCCACATTTCCAGGTCGGACCTGCCACACGTAGGTTCGTGCTTCCTGTACCTGAATGGGTTTACAGGAAGTCATTACTCCTTCTGGCCAATGTGGATATTTATTGTCAGGTTGAAGGCGGTCGCTGTTTGCTTTGGCTTGATGGATTTAGGTGGCCTGATTATGATATCAGACAACGACGTGTTGCCCATGGAGACTATGTACGAATTGCAATTCCACCATCACAGCGACATGATTGCCCAACTTCGCAAATGCTTCACTGGACACAGGCTGGCCTCTCTGATTTTGGACCAGGTCGAGCATGATGAAGCGCAAGTTGGTTATTCACCTAGCCTACTTGATCCAGATGAGGTACGAGCGCTTGCTAGATCTAGCAGTGAAACTGAAGAGGATGATGTTTTCCATGCGATGCAATCCTGCTCTCCTGCCCATAGCACTCATAGTATTTCCAGTGATTGGAGCAGAGCACCTCCTGACTGGCATATAGATCTTCAACGTGTGGTTGAGGCTGAAACTAGGCAGGATTGCGTTCCTGAACTTCATGAATTCATGATTTACACGTGGCTCCTGGATGATGATCGTATGCCTCTTTGCACACAGCCTAAGATTGCTTGGATCAGCGGTGATCCTACGACATGGGAGGAGGAAATCCTCTATCCTTGGAGGTACCATACTGTTCGTCATGAGTCCTATACTCTCTCCTGCGTTCTGCCGACACCGCCTAAGTCTGACCTGGAAAGACATATAGCGCATGTTTTGATCGTCAAGCAGCCCACGCCACTTGAATCGATCCTTATTTCGCTCGAGTTTCAGGGTCGTGCTTCGGCTACAATTTTGGTGCGGTTTGCGCTCCTTATTCCCAAGCGTTTGACAATTGCAACTCTTACAGAAAAGATTCCCCTTCTTCGACAGCTCGACTTTAGCCGAATTGGATGGACCAATGCTGGGTGGGGACATGAAGATGATTTCAAGCTTGTCCATTCTGGTATGTGCATTAGGATCCCAGTAGATGATGCCGAAGATGTTGCAGGGTCCCCTTTTGATATTGATGTTGACTCCCTCTTGCAAACCTCCAGGCGACAAAACAGGATGCACAACCTACAACCCATGCGGGCTGATTTAGGAAGTTGCAACCCACAACCTGGAGATAGTTTGACTGAGGAATTTCTTCAAGCTATTGAGGCCGCTAGAAATGCTGTGGAACCTGAACAGCCTCCTATTGACCCTGATTCGATCGATGCCCAGCCAGAGGTGTTTCGAACCATCTGGGATAGGATGCTGCAAATTACGGCCAGTGACTCTGCGCTCCCACAGAGAGCCGGCAGAATCGAAAGCTGGTACCTTCACCATGCTGATTTTACTAGATGTCACACTTCGAGAATCACATTGATTGGTGAAGACTTCCGGCAATGGCGACAACAGATTGCTGCCACCTGGAATGATCGGGTAAGGAATT